AGGTAAAAGGTTAAGACCTATTTAACGTTTTGTTTTATTTTGGATAGAGTAGGGAAGAGTTTAAACCACTGTCAGGTTTTAACTACTGCCCCAGTTGGGGAGATTTCACCTTATTTCCTGTATCCTCACCAGGACAAGACATGAGGGGGAAACCCAACAGGGGATGCAACCCTTGCTCCATTCTACTACAAAATATCCTGTAATTCAGCTTTTAAAAATATTTAGTATAAGTTGGAATTCTTTCTTGGCCTATATAGCACGGTTTGCTTCTTAACTGTCAGTGAGTGTGTGACAACTTGGTAATTAGGATGCTTTCAAACCTTGGTGTTTTGGAACATGTGTTAAATAAAAAACATTTGCTGCACTGGATTTGGTTTCTATCAAAATGCACCTCCCACAGGGATAAATAATGACGCATGTAAAAAGCATAAAAATGCACTGCTCCTCTTATGCAGAAGGTGATGTAGCCTTAGCAATAAAAGCAATGGCAACAAAATAATAACTGCTCATTTTATTACAAAACTAAAGTGTTGTGCGAGTGAAGTTTTTAGCACTACCTCGTTCTTTCATTATAGCTGGAAAACTACGCTATCAATACAAAAGAACAATCGCTTTTCACCAGACTCAGTGTTATACTATTTACAGCTAGCAGACACATTTCCATTCAAATCTCTCCACCAGCTCCTTCTGCTATTGAACCAGCAATCTTATCCTGCGCAGGACCGAGTGTCCCAGATATGCTGCATGCGTCAAGAATTACAGTCTATGTGCACTGGAAGTGCTTGGGGCTCAGCTAACTACTGAACTTAGGTGGAAAGCTGGAAGTGCGAGTTTTTTAGCGTCTGTTGAAACTCATTTGCTTTGACGCATTTTAGATGTGCTTTCTAGATCTCCGCAGAATGGCAACGATGAAGAAAATGTACGACAGAGCATAAAATATAGCAAAAGCTAAATTCTTCAATGTGGCTAAGTCGAAAACAAAGTCAAAATGCAAGATTTCCAGGCTTTTAAAGGAAAACTCCCATTTTGACCATATTTTTTTTTTTTTG